AATCAGGCATGACCGCAAACATCGTAGAGCTTTCCAAGAGTAACATGAGCGTTTACTGAGGAACAATTACGGTCAGTGAGTGTTGAGATAGCATCGGGGGAGGACGACTCTTGTAGACACACCGACTGTCAGGCTTGACTTATTTTTTTATAAACATTTATTAGAATATATCCATCTGTTGCTGTCAAAGCAAGGCGTGTTTGGAAAGAACAACATTAACACCTAGCAACAAAGATACCACAGGCTGGAGGGAAAGAGTTTTACCCTGTAGAAGAACTTTTCAAGCTTCTGGGTGAGCAGCTCCACTCCGCCGGCTTCCATTGCTCTTCCAAACGTGCCATTGAAGAGCTGCAGCATAAAGGAAACAATCACTGTTATGTGATGATTCTTCCTGCAATATAAAGGCCTCAGTGTTGTTGGGTTTTTATTTATTTTTTGGTGGCCCCTAGACAGTTCCAGCCAGCGCTGTAGTAAAAACACGGGTGTGCAAATGATAAGAATTTAAAACAAATATCTGGGGATTTATTTATTCATGCACAATAAATGCTTTTGATTAACAAATGGTCCAGAAAAACAGGAGAAAACATAGATTTACATCAGAAAAAGCAACAAAGCCTCATTGCCTTTAATGTTCAGAGACCAATCTAACTGTCATAAGTAATCTTCCCCCAAAGGCCCATTCTTATCCAGGAACAAACCCTGGCAGGCGTTCATTATATGGCGTTTCATTATTATTGGAATAGGCAAAAAACATGCAGCAAAAAAGGACACTTCACATACGTAAAGCATTACAATTTTTACTCACCTTGTACATACTGTAGCACTGCCTCACCACTGCACCATAAACAGTATCCTAAAAAGGCAAGAGGGTGTGTAAGTGAAAGCTCCAAATATTCTAGGAAAAAAAAAAAACGCAGACATTTATTAGTATGTGTCAGTACTTACAAGTATTTCCTCTTCCTGATATTCTATTGTGGGAGGTTTGCCATCTTTGTTTGGTTTCTCGATCATTGGGTTTCGAACCACCTGAGGAGTGACACAAAAAAAGCATTAGGGAGGCAAAGATAAATCACATTTCCAATAAAGTCTGGACTACATGAAAGCTTGTCAAGGTACCATGACTATCCAGAAATTGTCCTCGGGCTCGAAAAAGAACTGCCGGTTCTTCTGTGTGTGCAAGGATTTAGCTGGTTTTGTTGGACAGAACGTCCTGCAAGAAAGAAGATGTGGTCATTAAGAAAGAACAGACACCCAACGAAGATGGTCAGCTCCTCAGTTTGTGTTTTTACTTACATAAGATAGATAACAGTGTGTATCTAGCCACTTATTACAACATTTCCCTATTCTGTTATACTTCAGGTTTCAAGAAGTGATGCTTTCATTGTGGTTTGCCCTGCAACTATTGATAGAAATGTATTACATTGCTGTTAAAACACTAAATAAATCCACCTCAGTACACTCATGATGCTGCAGTAATATTCTGCCTTTAATATTTGTACCTGGTGAACTGTACAATGGCTTCACAAAGGCCCACATTTCGGATCTTCTCATTCTTCTCAACATCACTGGGGTGGTAAAACAAAATCTTCTTCTCTTCCTAAAAAAAATAAAATAAAAAATCTTTGCATTAGCAGTTTAGTTACCTAATAAAATATTGCGTAACAAGTTGAATCAGTCAACTGATTGAGGTATAAAACACGAACATTAGAACTCCTCCAAAGGAGTCACACTCACCTCTCCTTCCCGTGGTCCAAACGTAGGGTTATAAATGAAAAAGCTGAGCAACGATGGTGTGTACTGTTTCTCTTGCATTCCTGAGGCCATTCTGGGACTGGAACAGACACAAAGAGAAAGCTGATAAACAGATAAACGCTGGCAAATCTCTAGATTTCATTCAGCCTACAGCAGTGCCAGCCTTGGAAGGCTCTCCAGGGGGCGATTAAAATTGCTCAGAACATCATTGGTACCCATCTACCAAGCACCAGTGATATCAGTGAGAAGGGGTGTCTGTCCAAAAGATACTTAAAGCCTACCCCCCCTCAGCCAAAGCTTATTGCCCCACTACCATCTGACAAGTAAAACAAAAGTATCTGCTGCTGCACAACCAGATTTCAAGCAGCGTCTTTCCTCAGGCAGTGAGATTACTGAATTCATCCTCACAACGGACCATAAAAACAGCTCTATTTTCACAACTTGATTATTCTTAAAATAATCAGTCTTTTATGTGAGTAGCAAACATCACAATCTTGCGTGGCACAATAGTAACTAAACTTGAATCATTCTTACCTAATCATCAGCATTAGTTTAACTTGTGTCTGGCTTTCCTTTGCTCCAGTGACAGTTTAGTTAGCATGCCGTGCGCCTGCAGAATGAAGATAAGCATAATCACACAGAGTAGCAGGACAAATTTAGAAAAAACAATCATGAACTTGGAACGAGTCGCTCCATATATAGCAGCTGATGTGCACTGGGTCAAAGCTGGAAGATCAGAAGGCATTTACACAAACACTATTAATATACTGTTAATACTTACACTATACTATACACCTAGGATGCACCAGTGCGAAAAGCCGGATCAGTACACAGACTGACAATGCCAAAGAATGTAACACTACATTTTTAACTTGAGCAGCTGACTGATATATTCATTAAAGGAGAAAGTTCCGTATCTAGGACGTAACCATGCATTCTTTAGAGGGTTATGTCCCACCTAATAATGAATATACAGTAGACAATATGTTAATTATGTCCTCTGTCTATGAAACCCTATCAATGGATATGTCTGTTATTTCCTGTTAATTTTCAATGTATGTCTCTTTGTTCGAGCCACTGATTCCTTGCTGTGATTTCTTTAAACAGAGAACTACATATTTATTAACAGAAGGAAACTCGATGGAGGGGAGTTTATGCTGTTGCACGTTACAAAACAAATATAATCCATTCATGTATTACAGGCAATAAAAATCACTTTTTTCAGTGAGCAGAGCAGTTCCGAGTGTTTCAGGCTTTTCTTCACATTTCTGCACAGATTGCTCCCAAAATAAAACTGCTGAGTGTTTAACAGCTCAGTGTTCAGTCTGCATGTCTTTAGTCAGCAGAGGTGCACACACACAGAGCTCAGCAACATCCCAAATCAACACTCACATCTTTGCTTGTTTTACTTCGTCCTCCTGTAATAAGCTGTCTATTACACATTTTCATTTTGATGCACCTGGACACAGCAATAGTGATGTTTTCAGGGGTTACGGGTCACGAAGGGTCACACACGTTCGCCCAGACAAGGTTGATCAGGTGCTGGCTTGTGTCCAATTAGCAGTACACTGTGAATATCTGCTACATGTTGACATGTCTGTCAAAATACAGATATTAATGTTGCTCAGACAGATTGAAAATATGTTAGATTAATGACTGTTTCTAACAATTATGTTGTTCAGATGTCACCGAAAGTTCAGGTGTTTGGATTTTGCAGAAACATAAGTAAGTAAGTACTGAAGTTGCCCCCAGGTGGCTGTCAGTCTGTCCTTTGGCTTTAACGTCACACAGCAGCAGATAACAGGGAGGTGCACATTTACAAAAGTGGCACAATAGCAATAACTTCATGAACACAACTCAACGATAACTTACGTAACACCATCCTCTACACATTTGACAGATTCCAAGTTTACATGGTGGATTTATTTGTTTTAAATCTTCGCTGTCTGAATAGCTAGCATTTTATTTACTGTGTTATTAGCAGCTCAAATAAACCTGGATCCCCTCCAATGTCTGACTGAAGATCACGCCCTTTGACTTCAGTTAAATATTGAATCCTCCTTGAAGCCTCCTTGGAAACTTAATCCCCTCCTTCACCTTGAATGTACGTTTATTAGCTACTTGTGTTACATTTAGTCATTGTGTACAAACACTGAACTGTCAAACTGGAGACGCTGCTGCTGCTGCTGTCCTTCAGCCGGTGAAGTCTCTGTGAGCTGAGCTACAAAAAAAGCGTCATGTCTCTGAATTAGTAGCTGTTTTTTCTAAATTATTAAAGTCTAAATGAAACTGACAGGGTCACGTCTGCGACCGTGTAACTCAAGAAGTACAAATACTTTACACTGACTGCAACCAGCCGCTGTGCAGTCAGTGAGAGCAGCTAGCAGGCTAACAGCGCTCCGCTAACAGCAGACTTCCAGTCGGAGAAAAACCTCCGAGAACCGAGACGGAAAGAGACGAACACGACGGCAGCACTCACCTTACAGAGCATAAACACTACACGTTCAGGTACTTGTGGTTGTAGGTTGTGTAAATAAAAATAAAAAATGAGGAAATGAGATCAATGAGAAGAGATGCCGCTCGCATTATACTTTACATTCTTAACTTCCTGCTTTTGACAGCGCGGTGTCACAGCTTGAACTGTCCGGGTAGAATCGATTTCAAACAAGTTAGAGGTTCCTAGTCCCTACATGAGGTCTTCTGTACAGGTGATAAATTACAGATGCTAAATATCTAACACGTTTTATGATATGAGTTTATTAGTAATATTTAGTTTGAGATGCACTTAGTATTGATATGTCACTGAGGTTTTCAAATACACCCTTCTGACAGTCAGGTTTAATGAAGACTTTTGAGCAAAGGTATTTATTTTAACCTTAAAAACATCTGCCTAATCAAATATTAAATTCAAATTCCTTAATCAAAAATATTTTTCGTAATGAGCTAATAATAATGAAGCACAGGAATGCTTAAAAAATGATGATTGTAAATGTAAATGTGAAAGCTGAATGATTTTGTGATTGTATTTGGAAACCTTTATATCAAAATATGCTACTTGTCATAATTATTAAACCGTTCAGTTTTTGGGTAAGACATAAACATTGCATGATGAATTTAAACTCAAAAAATGCATAATTCTGAGTAAAACATAAACCATTCATATTCACAAATATGTTTTTATCCCCTGCTGCTACTATTACACCCCTGAGGAATTATCTAAATATATGTACACTCCATTCACACAAATATATGTTTCCACGTGTTTATTCAACCATATTGTTTATTGTCAGAGGTGGGTGTGTACAGAGAAGAAAATATGGACCAACACATCGAAAAGACACGTTAAAAGCTGTGGTCTTTAAAATGACAAAAGGTCATGTAAAAACAATTAGTGCACACAGAATCAAATAGAAAACAAATAAAATCCCTGGGAACAGAAGCTGGGATCAGAAGACTTCAGAGGTGGGGAAGTGGCCGAAGACCTGAAGACTTGAGCTCTTTTCATCTCCACGACTCAGGACAGGACCATAGTCTGGAATTCTAAAGAAAATAAAAAGACATAAATCACCTGCAGCTTGTTCTTGTCAATACACCCCTCAGCCTGTGTCTGCATCACAAACTCAAGACACTGAGCAGGTTTCAACCTTATGCCAAATCCCCACATGCATTTTAGAGCAAGCAGTGAGAAATCAAAATAAGCACAGACTGAAATAATCTGTTTTGGATTCTCTAAATCCTTTATCCTATTATGCAAGACAACTGTCTTTGTTGGTAAAACTGGGATTAATAGAGCAGCAGTTGGAGACTTCTATATCACTACGTATGGTTTCTGTGCTGATAAACCTGTTGGATAAAGTACATTCTTATAATTCCAACTCTAAGCTCATGAGTTAACTAAAGCACTTCAGCAAGGTTATTATTCATTCATGGTCCTTCTATTAATAGATTTTCTTGTCTGATGCATCCCATTTCCTCAAGGATGTTTGTGTACTTGTACTGAAATGGATGTAAACTGATGAATGAAACAGAAGCAGCTTGTCAACTATGAGTTTTAGGTATAAATATGCTTATTATTGTTGTAAGCTAAGAACTTAAAGGCTTCAATGCATTTTTTTAATTAACTTAAAGGTGCTCCAAATTACATGTAATTAGCCAGATCTTCTCTGGTGACACAGCCTGCGGTAGTTCGCCTCCACCCACTGAGATTTAATCCAACCAATGAGATCATTTCTGCCTACAAGGTGATTCCAATGCAATCGGAGAAATCAGATACTGACCCTCTGCTCCAATTCTGCCGTCATTGTCATCATCAGCTGCTGAGATGAAGCTCTTGGTTTCTGCTTCAGTCAGTGTTCGGGCTCCGGGGACAAACCGCTGCAGGAAATACCTTCACAGACACAAATAAGTGAAACGTTTTTGGTGTAATCTTTAGGGTGTTGTGTTGACTCCCGCAGAGAGACACACTTAAAAGCACACAGACACAGTAATTCCTAAAGTGCACAGTTCAAGTCAATCCTCAGCTTCTGTCGTGCAAAGGTGAGTTACATAATAGAAATACGACAATAACACTTTACCCACAGTGGATTATTAGAACACAGCTTAATGGTGACATCCCAGTAATACCACCACAGTGTGATTTACTGTACTAAATCTCTTTTTTGTTCATTCTGCCAGACAAACACACAAATACATCACAACTGTCGACTCAGATCTGTAACTTACTGCAAATAATTTTACATAAATTTGATTTGAATGTAGCTTTTTGTAGGAAAGAATATAGTTGATTGCTTCCAGTGCATTTTAGAGGCATGTAAAATCATAACATTAATTTGTGCATTTGCAGGAAAAGGAAGCAAAAGCTTTTAGGTTCTTGTCACTATCTCTGCTAAGATTCCCAAGAGAGAACTGCAAGAGCACAGAGTAGACATCCCAGCTCCGTATCATTTTACACACTTGAGCTCAGATTCCTCGATGTAGCCGCTGTTGTCCTCATCGAGGATCTGGAAGACATTTTTGACCTCCTGGGGGGTCTTTGAGGACAGGCCACACAGCTGGAAGAACTTCTTGTAGCTGAATGAGTCCGGAGCTGCAAAAAAAAAAAAGCGGAAACAAGTTGGAGCTGATCTATGTTCACCAGGTTGGGAAGCTGATGTGGAGATTAAAACAGCATGTGGCTGCTGTCCTGTTTTTCATCTTTTAAAGCCAGCGGACACATGCCTGCGCTAAAACCGACAAGGTGATTAAAAACCTTTTCAAATTCAGATTGAAAAGCTGGATGTGAGTTTGGTGGAGAGGATGCCGTGAGGTATTGAAAACAAGCACAGAGAAGATTATGAACCTTTTTGTAGGAGAGCGTTCTGAAGATCTGAATGCAGCACAGATTACACTGATCTGAATTATTGTGCAGTTAATGGTAATTAGGTGTGAATTCAGTGACGCTGAATGACTCATTCATTCTGCATAATTTGCTTTCTGTCTTGTAAATTAATAATGCCTGGTTGCAAATATCCCCAGAGCAGGGTTTAGTTCAGCGTGCATGTTGAGATGCTACCTTGACAGTCCTTGACAGCATTGTCAATGGCCTCGGCTGAAAGAATGGAGGTGAGCGACATGTTGGTCCTGTAAGGTACAAGAAAGGCTCTGTAAATTATTAACACACATACAAAACCAAAGTCTGTCTCGTCCTCTTTTAGACACATATTTTCATCACCTACCCCAGGATTTGCGATTTGCTCTCAGTCTATATTCGTGTCATAGTGGATTAACTTTTTAAAAAAATATATTTGCGGATGTATCTGGGTTAATATCATGATCCTATCAAAACTGCAGTCCTGACTGTGTGGCAAACAAGTTGTCAAAAAAAAAAAAAAAAAGAGAGAGAGAAGCAGTGACAGCCTTGTTTTTCAGTCATTTTTCTCTCTGCATTTTCATGTATTCTGTTATTAAAAATCCATAATTGTTTTTGCTATGATTTTCCCCTTGTCCATTCTCCTTTCTGAACGGATTTCCCCTGGCAGCCTGTTAATCACTGAGGCTATTTACCTCCCTTGAACTGCTTAATTGGGTTGGTTGGGCTATGCGAGATAATTGGCACTTAGGGACTGTACAAAAATTATTTCATGGGGAGGGGGGGAAAGGAGGGGCTGAACCTGATATTTAATTTCCAGCCTGGGCCCTTTGCTGCATCCTATCCCCTTTTTCTCCACACTTTTCAGCTGTCTCTATAATAAAAGCAAAAGAAGACATCCCAGAACAATAAAAATCTTGTAGAAAAAGCGTCCACGGAGTTATTAATGTTTTTCGACCTTGCTGCTGAACACAGGGTCAACATACAAACACTGTTTAACTTTTGAAGGAGAGATCCAGGTTTACTTGGTGTGGATTCATCCAAACAGAATGAATGAAAAAAGATATATCGAGGAGAAAATGTTTTTGAGCTCCAAACAGCTGATCTCATCGAAGCAAAACTCCTAATTATTTTAGTATAGTGCCTTAAAGCCTGAGGAGTTCATATGTATCATTTATCATTTGTATTTATATTATATAATATATAACTGGTTACCTGAAAGCAAGTTGTCCAAGGATACAGCAGAGCAATGTCTTTTATTTAATCATAAATTGCCTGCTTTGCCCCTTTACTCATAGTTTGAACGATTTGTTCAAAAGTAGAGCTTCAGTCAAGGTTAGACCTGCTTAAATTCTCCGTATAAAAATGACAAAATAAAACTTAGAGAATCCAGGCTGTGGTTCTCCTGCTCCACAGAGCAGGCAGGTACCACACCTGGCCAGCACCTGTATGAACACTGTCCCCCCCTGTGCAGCTGTGAAACTCACCCCTGTAGTTTCCTTCTCTGCGTCCAGATCCAAAGCAGCAGCAGCAGCAGCAGCAGCAGCAGCAGATAAGGCTTTGTGGTGGCCGCTGACAGCTGCCTCAGTCTTATACTCTGGGCTGGATGCGCCGAAGGATGCTTGAGTTTCCAACCTGTCCGAGGATCAAATTTTCCCCACTGCCGGCCGCCTCCTTCTCGTGTTCCTCACCTGCTCACCTGTCCAATTAACCTTTACTGTTTATATCCGCTGCTCTCGCTCCCTCTCCCCCTTCTCCCTTACTGTCATAACACTGAGGAGGTTTTCATCCAATCATTGCTCTCTCTCTCCCCTCCTCCTTGTTCTCCCTTCTCCATCCTCCCTCTCTCTCTCTCTCTCTCTCTCTCTCTCTCTCTCTCTCTCTCAGTCTGTAGGTGCAGCTTATAGACATCTCAAATTCAATCAGGCCCCCCCCTCCACCCCTTTCTCCCTCAGTGAGTAATCTGCTCTTTGGACGGCCATATGGAGCAGCAGGTCACGTTCGTGTAATCCTGCATTATGTATCACACTGATCTTACGTGCTTTGTCAGTCGGCAGCGGCGGAGGAATTATTCACATCCTTCACTTAATACCACACTGGAAAAGTCATGCCACATAAGTACAAGTGTCTAAGTGTTATCATGAAAAGGTGCTTAAAGTATTAAAAGTAAAAGTACTCAATGGAGGAGCATGTTCATCATTAGATTATCATTACTCTGGCATTAATGTAAGTGCAGGATTTTATTCTTGTGCTTGGTTGAAGCTCAATTTGAACCATTTTGCAAAATCTGATTATGATTTGCTCCATTTATTGTCTGATTGTTTGGTCTGTAAAAAAAAATGTACTCAGTAGTTTTTTCTGTCACGTGGTTCATCATTTCAGCTGCACTAAAAAATGTGGAGCAGTTTAATTAATGACACAATTTAATATTTTATACACACTTCATATGTTTTATGAACAAAAACCTTAACTTGTGAAAATAAATATAGCTGTCAGATGCATGTAGGGAAGAAAAAAGTACAATATTAGCCTCAGAAATGTAGTGAAGTAGAAATAAAAAGTGTCCAAAGCCTCATATCTCAAATTTGTAACTGTGTGTGTGTGTTTAGTTGCTTTCCACCACTGTCAGTAAGAATTAAGAAGTTATAACTTCCCTGTTTGCTGTGGGTGTATTTCTGTTTCTCGATCAACCTGTTTGACGAGTTAACGAGAAAATTTCAGTTTGCAATTTCAAAATTAAAGCAACATTTAGCTGTGTGTCAGAAATGTCCTCACAGTAATGGACCTCAAAGGTACCCAGCTGTTCATTTATCCCAGATCGTGTGTTTCTGTTTTTTTTCTTTTACTGCTTGATCAGACATCTATTTAAATGAAAGTTGCAGTTATATGAACCAAAATGAAGCCATTTCCACTTTTGAATCCTCCGATACTTTGTCACTCTTCTGTATCATCAAGCTACAAATACTGTATCTGATGGTTTGGCAGCTCACACTCATGTACCTGCGCTCCAGGTGAGAGTCTGGGTGGGGCCGGACGTGTTGTCATGTGTTTGTACCTGGTCACCAGGGCAACCTGCCACTGATGAGTTTGTTTCCCGGACTAGAAGTCTTTCAAACCTTCTGACACAGCAGCGTCTCTGGCAAATCCAGTCAGCACTAATGGCATTAGCAGTGAGGAAGAGGGGAGTTTTTTTGTAACGAGAGCCAGGGGAATAAATCTCATTATTCTTTTTCATTTGCAGTGACGCTTTGATTTAACAGCGTTTTCATGAGTCTCACAGCTTCTTGTTACTTTTGAACCAATCCGAAACTTAGACACGACACAATATCTTGTATTTCTCAGCCTCAAAGTTTGCAGTGTGAAAGTGTAAAGCTTCTAAAATCCTGATGACTCATTGGCGCCCCTGTGTGGCTGTTTCCCATCAATGCAGAGTTATCTTTACAAAGAGGGTGACACGGGAGACAGTTAGGGTTTCACCATCACATGCTGTGTAGGAGTTGGATTAGGTAGGGCAGGGGTCCGGTGTGTGGGAGTGTATTCATGCATCTGAGTCCGGATTAGGATTTTATGCTCATACAACTATCACAGCACCACAACTGGATATTAGATTTCAATGAAAGACCCTTTTAATAGTGCAAATATGTAAGATTTCATAGAAAAGGGCACACTTTCATTTTCTTCCTGAATGCATCACAAAATATATTGTTGTGCAATCCAGTGCACTCAAAGTTTTTGCTTCCTTTTTGTCCAGTATCTTATCACTTTTGGTAAATATCGCACATCACTGAGTCACTTGTTTTCGCTCTTCCCCACTAGCTTTCATTGCAAAATCCCTTTATTTGCTCCAGTGTGCTGAGCAATCTAGCTGAAATTGCAACCTTTGGTTCAGGTTCCCTTTGTAAAATATGTTTTCGATTCCAATCTTCACTATTTAGATCATTTTCTTTAGTTTAAAGACTAATTCCTGAGCTGGAACTGTGTAAATGTTTCATTCATCCATTCAAAACCAAGCGCTAAAGACCAGGGTCAGACTTGTGTTACTGAAAAAGAATCTTTATTGTTTTCTCATCGTCCGTCCGTTAAAAGTGCATCTTTGCTGATCTCACAGTAAGCAGAACTCACATAGTAAAACGACGACAGAAGTGAGAGAGAGAGAGAAAAAGACACAAGTCAACCACGCTATACACTTAGTCAGGTACATTCATCGTGGGCAGCATTGGGGTGAGCACGGTCAGAGAAAGAGAGAGAGAGAGAGAGAGAGATAGGGAGGATGGGGGAGTCGAGGGGGTGAGGGAGGTGGTTTGTCTATAGTCGGTGCAGGGTAAAAGGTCGAGTGTATAAAAGTGGTGTGGATAGCTGAGAGGGGAGAGTGAGAAGGAAAAGAAGAAGAAGAGTTTTGGCTCAAGTTGTTCCTTTAGAGTTGTCAGATGTTGGTCAGTTTATCCATTTAACCCTTGACCATGGCGGCGAACTCTGCAGGAGGAGAGAAGAAAGAGAGCAATGTTTAGTGTTATTTCTAAGATCTTTGGGAGGGATGGTTCTGCTGGTTCTGCTGGTGCTGTTTCCTCACCATCAACTCCGATCTTGCCGTCACCATCAGAGTCACCGGCCTGAAGAAACGTCTTGGTCTCAGCGTCGGTCAGAGCTCTGGCGCCGGCAGAGAAGTTCTGCAGGAACAGCCTGGAGGAGAAGAAGATCAGAGAGAGCTCAGCATTGCAATAAAACCCTTGTCTTGTCTGGCAACCTTCTTGTCGTATTTAGTCCTGTGGTATTGAAGCTTTCTCAATAAATTGCACTTGATGTGACCCCAAAATTTAAGCAGGCTGTATTTCCCAATGCTTCCCCCTCTGCTCTACGTCATCCTATAATATGAGCCACCAGAGGAGACGGCTGGCATAGTGTTACTGCTGAGGAGAACACCCAGTCGCCCCTGAGCTTCTCAGATGTTTTTGAGCCTCTGACATCATTTTGAATTCACTGTGGGCCAAAAGAAAGATGATCCCTGTGCTAGAAGAGCTTTTGTGAAGATGCAATCTAAGAGAGGGTGCTTACTTCAGCTCATCCTCCTCAATGAAGCCACTCTTGTCCTGGTCAATGACAGCGAAGGCCTTCTTGATGTCATCAGCAGACTTGGCAGCCAGGCCGACCTTAGCAAAGAAGTCCTTGTGCTTGAAGGAGTCGGCAGCTGCGGGAAGACCGAGAGGCGACCGCGTCAGACATTGAAGATATATCACAACTCAAGTGTGTATCTGCAGGTGCACTAGATTCTGTTTACGAGGCCTGCCAGCTGGTTGCTATTCAGCCTCAATTTCTGCTCGTTTAGCGTTTAGCTTTGAGATGATTCTCTTGCTTTCTGCTACGACATACAGCAATTATATTAAAAGTCTCATTCTGCAAGCTTGCTCTACTACTGATCTAGCTCCAGCGGTGTTAAATGCATGTGGGGCTCCTCTTCTACCTGCCTGTAGCTGAGGTCTAGTGGTGTGGTTTGGTTTTGTATTAGCAATTGAATCCTGCAGCAAGAGATTCAGCTACAAATGTGTAAAGTAATTATCAAGGTGCTTCTCTTGCAAAGCAGATCTGCTAAGTGCACAATATCCTACATGTGTAGCTACTCTCTGGGCTTTCCCAAATTAAAACACTGCATGCCATGATTGTTTCAATTTTCTGGGGTTTACCTTGGCAAGCTGCAAGGGCTGCAGTGATGTCAGCGTCGTTCAGAATTCCGGCGAATGCCATTTTTTAACTGAGGGAGGAGAGCAGAGGACAAGACATCAGTTCAGCTGTAGCAAGAATCAAACAGGATGAGTTCTACTCAGACTCTAAGGATATCTCTTAGCTTCTCTCACTGCATTTTAGAAAACACGGTTCAAAGCTACAGAGCTGCATGCAATCTTCAATAAGCCCTGCAGTATAAATCACAGTCCCTCTCTGGGAGTATTCCAAGGCACCAATGATCACAAAAGGTAGTCCAATTTTCCCAAAACCAAGCCCTCCAAGGCAAAAGATCAAATCTCCTTTTGCAGCTGTGGTTGACAAATAGATTATTTTTTCTCCCATTTGGTTCCTTTGTTAGTCCAAAGCCAAAATCTGGGCTTCTGGTGTTCAGAATCTGGACCAGTGTGGCCCCTTTGCTCGATTTATATCCCAGTGCATGAAGTTGAAGCCCTGGAACACTCTGTGTCGAGACTTGCCTAAAGGTCTGCAGCTCCTCAGTGAAACTCACCTTAGGGTTATCTCTAAGACTAAGAGTGAATTCGCTCAGATGAATCTGCTGACTGCAGTGGAGCCCTCAGTGGCTCTCTCAAGCTTATATACCTTCACGCACCCGAAATATGATGCATAGGCTATGTAATAGACACTGTGTGCAGAGCAGTCAAAGCAGTCGGTCGAAAAATGTGTCCAGTAGACAGAGCTGTTCTATTTATATGTACATAAATGAAGATGCTTAAATGGTAGGCCAAGTGTAGGCCTATGCAAAAGTGCTTGATATTGCATAAGGCTAATAATATACGCTGCTGATTTGAGTGAAACACACTCTGCAGCCTGTTAAACTGTGCAGAGCAGCACCGAGTGAAGAATGAGGTAAACTTTTATGTTGTGTGTAGAAATGATTAGACAGATCAAGCAGGTTTATATCTTAGGTTGTGACTTAGAGGTGTATCTTATTCTGTTGTCGGTTTGTTTAATAATCTTATTTTCTCTTTGCTGTTATGTGATTTCACATGGAGACTGTGCCATAGTGAAAGTAGTTGAAGCACTTTTTTCATGTAAAGTTTTTGTGCTGATTGTAAAGACTTTAAAATACATGTAGTGTTTTCAATGAAAGTTCACTTAAAGGTTTATGTAAGCTTTTCTTTGGAATAATCTTAATAAAGAAAATCTGAAGAAAGAAATGACAGTGTAAGTTTTGCTGATCCTTAATGTCCGTGCGCTTTCACATTCTAAACACCTTTCGCAGTTTTGGTGAAAACGTGCCCCGTGCGTATTTGGCGTGCGTAAAATGTCTCCAATGACTTGGCTGGCATTCCAGTGTCAGAAAAGTCTAGTTGTTGTGATTGATTATGGCAGGCAGCGGAAACTGTGGCCAGAGACAGAAAGCAAGTTATAAAAAAAAAAATGCAAAGAATTTTTAAATAGTCTCGTCTTTATGTGTTTAGACCTTTGGATTTTTACGCAGTTTATGACAGTGATATATTTGAGATTGACCACTTCTGCGATCAAGCTGATCAAATGTAACAACAGCATTGTGGACACGAGACTGTAAGCAAGTTATTTGACCTGAAAGGATATTACGAAGAGAAAATGAATAAAGCTGCAAAGAAGATTTATTGTTCATTTATTCATAGTTAAAAGCAAATAAAGTTCTGGCACCGATTATCACATGACTTACAAAGAAATACAAAATGCAGAAGGCCGTAAACTCGTCCCTCCTACTCTGTTCTCGTTATTCTAAACAACAAATAAGGTTTCTAGTGTTAAAATTGCTGCAAATTTTCTGCTTAAACGTGCATCATGTTGGATGTATATACTGCAAACTTTCATTGATTTTTAATGTGTGAATGCAATCTTAGTTTTAAAAAAAGAGTCGCACACCAACACTTTATGGAAACAATATGATAATCAGGCCATGCTGTAAGCTGCAAAGTTGCAGATGAAGGGGAACCACAGGGATTCACTGACATGCTTTAATTTAATCATCATCATTTACTTTGCCAGCTCTTATTTTTGGATCTATTCAGACCATTTCTCCTTATGGCGATGAAAGTATTTGTGGTGCTATTTTGGGAAACACTGACAGCTGATATCATCAGTATCATCAGCAGCATCGTCGTGGCCATTATAATACCCATCATCATCATCATCATCATCATCGTGTTAACGCTGCAGCGGGGCAGCCTGAGGTTGCATAATGAGCTCTCCCTCACTATCAAAACAATGGAGTTAAATGAGGAACCGGTCCAGGGGTCTTTCCTTTGCCATATTTGCTCTGATGGTGCAGACTGTTGTGTGCTTGTTATGCATCAGGTGGCAGTATTGAGTTGATCCTGAGACCAGTGTGATAAGATCTTAATATTAAAATATCAGCAAACCTTAACTGTGTGTTCAAATCATCATGAAACCCACATTTAAACATCCAACCGTCAACCAGTTCAGTCTGTTTCAATGAGACGTCACCTCTGCAGTGATTTCTAATTTGTCACCTCAGTGGTTTCAGGTCACGTGACGCCGCTGAAGGCAGAAATAATGCTTACAGTATATGTTCATGTACGTATATTGGATTAAATTTAGTTTCTTCTGAATTTTAAATTTCCGTTAAAGTTCTGTAAAGCCAATCTTTGGCCTTTAACATTTGCTGTGGTCAAATGAGGTCTCTCACCTCAAACGACCAGGCCATAGATACTGTAACTATTCCTGCCCTTCTTCAATATCAGGTTTAAATTACAAATATCTCACAGCAGGAATGAAACCCATCAAGCTATGAACATGTGTAATCGGAGACAGCAAAGGAACATCCCTCCCATCAAATTCTGAAATTTATATTTGAAATATAGATTTACAATTAATTTGCAAGACATTCAGAAAGTGAAACCTTAATTTATCTTGTTTAATAAGCTACGGGACCATCTAGGCCGACTAAACTGCATTGAAATTATAACATAAGAGGTCAGCAACCACATGAGCATTCAAGATTTCAGACATGTTGAGTAGCTCGAGGCTGCAGGACATGTTTCGCCTTCTGCGTAAACAAATTTCTAATTCTTGATATCAAAAGTTTGTTCCCTGCTGCAGCAGAAATAGAAGTGACCCATATTCCCTATCACTCTGCTCTGCCAGGCAGAGGAGGAGTGAAAGTTGCAAATAAATGTGCCTCATTGACAGAAGTCCTGTAAATGTGCTGGCCCAGAAACCCAATCCTGCCCCAGAGCCTCTCTGCCGGGTCACTCGGCCTCCTCGGACCAGAGCTGCTGAAGTTCTGCCAGAACATCCAGTCGTCCCACCGCAGAGCCAGAGACCAGCTGCCTCTGATCCAACTGTGCCCTCGCCTGCAATTCACACGAATAAACATTTCTAGTCCGTAGTGGTCGAGACCGGGGTGCCAAAAAGCTCAACGATGGCTGGTATCGATCCAGTGAATCCTGTCCTGATGTCATTTATTTAGCACGGGAATAAAATACAGTAAACAAGAAATGCAATACTGAGCGTCTTCGAGAAGAACGAGTCCGTCTGTGCTTCCTGTAAGTGCGTTTTTCAGATACTTTATGGGATTGTTTGAATTTTATGTTACTTTATACTTCTGCTCCACTACATTTCCGAAAGGGCTGAGATTGCTACATATATTTAACAGCTCTAGTAAATTACAGCAGTTAAAACCTATTTTAGCCACGGATGTATTTATGCATCAATAATAATCATCCAATAATAGATAGTGTAACACTCACTACTGTGCTTACACTTATGTACTGTTCTGCATAATAAGTGGTTTTACTCGGTATCATTTAGGTACATTTTTGTTGAGACAATGGTGGTGATGGTGAGAAGTAACTAAGTACATTTTCTCAGTTTTGACATACTTGTACTGAAGTGTTTTAAATTTATGCTACATTATACCTCCAGTCCACATTTCAGAAAATAAAACTCCACTACATTTATCTGACAGCTTTAGTTACTAGATTTTACACACTTGATAACATAACACGCTTTAAAATAATATTAACATTATTAAAGATTAAAGCAGCAACATTTTTTGGTTTCCGATGTCTCACAAACAGCAGTGTGTCGTCGGGGTCACCTTTCAGATGAGTTGTTAACAACTTCAGCAAATAATGATTTTCCTTCTAAACTTCTCACATGGTTTCATTAAAAAATAAAAAATAAAAATGCTCAAATGATCCAATTTCTTATCTAAAAGCAAAGAATAGAGACAGATTTGTGTAACAAAATTTGTTTCCTATCACATTAACCCTATTCAGGACTTTCATGTTGCCATACATAGAAGGTCTTTTGGGGTCTATTGGACCCCAAGAAAGAATATGTGCAAAATATTTGTTGGTATTCATTAAAGACCTTTATACTATGTTAAATAAACTTTCTGATAAGCTGGTGTACTTTTGGTTCCAAATGCATGAAAATAGCCCTCTTTTTACATTTAAAAGATAATCTTCAAAAATAAAAAAAACAATACCTGTCACCTAAACTAAATGGCCTGGGGTCCAAAAGACCCCCAAAATCCTGAATAGGGCTAATTATGTTTGGAGCCCTGAGATGTATCTGCTCCCCCTTTGTGTAAAGCTATATTTAAAGTAGTTCATACTGCAGCAGCAACAAATGTATCATGCTGCTGATGCTTCACTATTGATAATATAATGATGGTCAACATGAACAATTCTGTTTAATTCATTCACTGTAAAACATTAACTTCCATTTTGCTGCCAATATTGTATATATTTTCGTTAAGTAGGGATTTTTATAGGACTGTCCTTGACATGGAGTGTTATTAAATTGTTGTGTTGGTCCATTTACTTAAGTAAAGGAGCTGAATATTACTAACTAATGCAGTATTTCACACTGCTCTGTTGCTCCTCCTAATGATCTGATCTAAAGTGTTTCATCCACAGTTTTAGTTCATATCAAACTAATATATGTTTATTCTTTAACAAAAGGGATCTACTTCTGAAAACATGAACCTCATACAGCATTTAAATGTTTTGTCTGAGGCTAAAACAATACACACACGTTATATGTATATGAATGTCCTCATGAGTCAAATAAAACATCCTCATTGATGTTGTTCACAGATTGAAGGCTCATTTAGGTCACGCACAGGAACACATTAAACCTTGTGTCATATCAGCTGTGGCCAAACTGCAAATCAAATGTAAGCTGATATATAATTAAAAATCTAATCATATAGTGAAGGAGAACTCATTCAGCTCAAACACATTCTGGTTTATGACCGACACAATCACACAATGAAGCATGTGAAGTGATTTTTAGTTTCATCCTGGGGAATAATAAAACAACGCTCAAATCAGCGTGTTTTCATCTGTGAAACTATTTCAGGGAAAATGGCTTAAATGTTGCGTACACGTCGTCCCAGCACAAACATGTCATTCACACCTCTGAAGTGTCAAACTGATGTTACCAGAATGACAAACACTTCATTTGCACAGTGGAAAATTGCTGCTGCTGTTAATTGGAGAAACCAAAGCCTTCGGCCTCCCGGACAGGCTGGACGCCTCCCAGAGCTCAATATAACATCAAAACAGCAGAGTGGGTCGTCTTCACGGGACTGTCGCCGCCGTAAAAATCACACTTTTAATGCTACACGGAGGAAAGCACATTTATTTATAAAGTCTCCTGGCAGGAAAAGACACAGAGCAGAGAGGAGAGTTTTAATTGGTGGTTTACTTCCATCACTCTATTGTTTTACATTAAAAGTAAAAGATATATTTTCATTCTAAATAAATTATTTTTCTAGATCAGTCCAGGTTTCTGTTTTAACTGTAGTACAACAATGCAAGTTGGTCCACCCTGAGATCATCCCCATGCAACAGATCGGCTCTTATGCAGACTTGACCAGCGCAGAAAACTCTGCAAAAATAAAGAAATGGCACAGACATAGTTGATTAGACAGCAACACCAATTTGATTACAATTCTTACTATTTTATTACTTTTACCAAAGGTCAACACTGTAACACTATTTTTCAAACCACCTAAAAGTACATTCAAGGGTGTCTTAGGCTGGTTAAGAGTCTATATAGTGTAGCGGCAGTGCAAAAAGAGAGGTGAGTTTATGAAACATGCTGTAGTCAAGCTGGATAATACAAGAAACAAAGCAGGTCATAATTCAGAATAGTTTCATTGTACTCTGATGGAACCACTTTTTCTTCTTTTCCATCACGGGAAATTCAACCAGAAAACAAAATAAAGCTGAAAAGGACTCTGTTTCTACTTTTCATGCTTCCTTCCTGTCTGTACTTGTCACGATTATACCACACTGTTGCCAGTAAAGTTTGAATAAAATCCTTTTTTTGACCTCTTCTCATGAAATGATTGTGACAGTTTATTCTTGATAAATAAAGTGTACGTCTTCTCAAAACTTTATTGATATCACAATGTACATACAACACATATCACAGTAAAAATTAAACCACAATTAACTTTTGCAAACTGTGTTTTCAGGCTTAAACTAAATTGGGAGTGTTGAACAATAGGACTAAGGGTTTTGTTTCAGTTTTTCAGCCTTGGTCATATAACAGGAAACACATATTTAAGGGGATTTCATGCATAAGAATGTCCAGTATTACTCTTTCAAATGTCACTAATATTGAGTCTGGCCACCTGTGACACGGATCAATGCGTTAAGACATCGTGGCATACTGTCCACCAGCTTGTTGATGGTGACGATCGGCAGGACATCCCACTCTCTGGTCAGATCCAGAAGTCAGAATTAGTTTCATCTGAGCAACTGGGACTCAGTATGTAATCATTGGTCAGAAGTGGTTACTGATGTGTAGAAACAGAAATAAAAAGAGGAATGTGTCTGATAACAAAAATTATTCCAACTTTATGGGCAACAGTGTCTCCTATATCTGTTTTCTTTATAAGTTTATCCATATTTGTATTTTTATATAAGATTATTATGCTAAATTGTTGTAAATTTCACTACAATTGTGAATTTTTATCATGAGTTTGGTTTGGTGAAATTAACTTTAAAAACTGAAAAAAAAAAACTATTAGCTAAAAAATGGTGACAGTTCTCGTTCAAATTTAGATCGACAATGTGATGTTTTACGTAGAGTTGCCGTTCACAGTTGCTCTGAGTTGCTGATTTAGGTTTTGTTTCGATGCATCAGACTAATTAAAAAAACGCAACAACAACAAAAAAAGTGACGCTCTTTAAGCTAAGTAGATTGCATCTTATTAGACACTGATATCACCACATTTTCAGAGCTTAATTGTCCAGCGATGCAAGTAGACTGATGATGATGATGAAACTTCACTGATACGGTCATACAGTAGAAAAAAATAAAATAGAAAAGAGGTCTCAAAGAACTGGGCTGCCTCTGTGGGTATGTTGTGTCTGATTCATTTCTTTATTGGGTTCTTTACATTTCATATCAAGAATTTCACTAAAATGAAATCAACATCTAATTTAAATTACATTTGTTTTTACAGAATTACACATCACTAGATAACTTCTTTTGGAAAAGAATGAATAGAGCAGCAGATGGAGAGAAAATGCTGCTATTTCTGCTTTTAGCATAAATATGAGTGTGTGATCAGTGTGAAGCTTCTCTTAAAGGTTACTCCCACACCACGGAGTAAACAGCTTCATATATGTGCCTCAATCTTCACATTCTATAAATATCTTTTGTAATACTTGATTTGCATTTTTAGAAGCGCAATTCTTAGAATTATGATAAAAACTGCTGCTACCGGCGAATACCTCGACCCAGATCAAGTGTGATTAAGTCCACTCAGACCTGCTTACCTTCCCAACCGATCTTCCCGTCGCCATCCGAGTCTCCCTCCAGGAGGAAAGCTCTGGTCTCTGCTGCAGTCAGGGGCCTCGCTCCTTTGGAGAAGTTCTGCAGGAACAGTCTGGAGGGCGACGGAGGAGGCCGCACAGTCACAAAACACCAAACATACAAGCAGTGGGTACAACATGTGTGATGTTTGCTACCACTCAACTGTAACTCATCCTGTTCTATGTAGCCGCTTTTGTCCTGGTCCAAAATCTTAAAGACCCTCTCGATCTCTGCTGGAGTTTTCTTGGACAAACCCACAGTTTTGAAAAACATCTTCGGTTTAAAGGAATCCTTTGCTGTGAGTAAAACGACAGATAAAACCTGATTGGATCAACTCAGATGGTGCAAAGCAGAATCAAAGGCCTATTTTTGAGCACTCACTTTAACCACACAACCATCAACTCACCTTTGCAAGCGTTAATCGCAGAAGTGATGTCTGAGGCTGCCAGGAAGTCGGTAATAGCCATGGTGGTGCAGGTTGATGCTGCAGCCTGGTGCACACGCTGAACACTGACGGGCAGAAAGAATCAACTGGTGAGTGTGAGCAGACTTCATCCCCCCGGTGTCAGAAACCACCAGTGTCCTTCTGTCCGCTGTCACCCGCAGCTGACCACTTCAGCCATCAGTGCGTATTTGTGTGTGAAAGGGAAGAACTTCGCCGTGACACAGCTGTGTTTTTCTGGAGTGTTTTCTGCAGGGGTCAGAGGTCGGATTCAAATCCACCCAAACAGAGCCAAAGGCAGGTAGTGTAAATAAAAACAGCAGTCAGCGAGGTTATATTTGGTGCATCTGGATGGAACCTGGCTGGCCTGCATTTCCTCTTCGCTCGTGTTTCCAGCCGCAGTTGCTGCCTGCTCGTGGTCGTCCCTGGCAGTGTTTCCGCAGGCTGTAAACATCCTGTTATTATGGCCTCTGTCACTTTCAGGCTGCGCTCCACCGAGCTGTCTCCACTCACAGTCACCTTGTTCCCACCGCTACATTTAGCCCTGTTCTCCCACCAGACAGAGCTCATGAAAGAGAAGATAAACACGTTAGAGATGACAGTCGCACTGTTAATGCTGTTAACGGGGGACTTTTATTTTACACATTAATATAGAAATGTGTCTTTTAGAGCCATTAGTATTGATGTACTTGAGGAGAGGGGAATTTCTGATAACCTCTGCTAATATAACTTGTGCAGTAATAGTTAATTTCTAGAATTTTCGTAGGTGCTTCATCAAAGGGTGATTTTTCCAGATGCATTATTTTGTGTTGAAGTCTCGTATCACCTGACACATCAGCAGCCAAAATGAACAAAATAATACTAAAAAGTGTTGGCTATGGGGTTATACATACAGTAGGATGCAAATGTTCGGGTCAAACCTTCTGTTCCTGTGAGTAGAAGATGAGTTAACATTCTTTTCAACATTTTAAGCAAGATTAGTGCATTTTTTTTGCTTTAAATTTTTTTTTAGAGTGAATAAACGGAAAGGAGTGCCATGCAAATGCAAGATCTGACCTTCTCAGGCCTTCATTAGCTTGTTAGCATTGTGGCTCGTTCACAGTCGTGATTAAGAAAGGACCAGTGATGCAAATTTCAATAGCTTTATAAAAACTCCTTAAACCTTAATCAGCTGACATGGGCTCCTCCGAGCAGCTGCTTCACACTCTGAATATTAAGAATAGTGAAACCCACAAGGCAGGAGAAGACTACGAGTGTGTGTTCAGGTAGCTGTTGCTAATGTAACCAAGAAATGACAGTTAACAGGATGGGTAGAGGTCAAGTTAAGGTCTGGAAGATCAAGTCAACTTTCCGAGAACCGCTCGTAGGATTGACAGGAGGGAAACTCAAAACCACCGTTTGGCTGCAACAGGACTTCAGAAAGATTTATCAGACTCTGGAGTTTCGGTGCTCTGTTCTACTGTGCAGAGACACCTGCACAAATACGATCTACATGGAAGAGTCAACAGAATAAAACATCTTGGCTGCAATGAACAAGTACATATTTGAAAAAAAAGGTGGCAAAATGTCATGACAAGAACATGTCTCCAACTACGGGGGATGATTGATCAAGCAGCATCTTTAAAAAAAGTTAAGAGAAGCTATCTACTACATCAGATTTTTTTTTAAACATGCAACTAAAACTCCAAAATTGTCTGCATTGAGAGCTGAAGGTTCTGCTTTAGTTTTCTGATCCAGCATCACTGAAAATCTGTAGGCAGACCTCAAAGAGCAGTACACACAAAACAGGCCAATAATTTCACTGAACGAGAAGCATTTCGCAGGAAAAGTTTCGGAAAGTCCCCCAAAAAGAAGTGAAAGACTCGTCTACAAAAAGCATTTACACACTAATACTTACCAAAGAGAAGCCAGGAAGTACTGACCAAGTGTAAAATATAGACGTATAAAAGTCATCTTGCTTAAAGTATCAAATGAATATGTTTTTTCTAACTCGTGCATTCAGGAAATCAGGTCACTTATAACACAATGACAGAAACTTTAACCACTTGTGTCCAACGTTTCCATACAGCTGTATGCACATTTTTGTGTTTTACTATAAATCAGTCAATGGGCGTCTGTGGAAAACCACACGCTGATAAATTCTCACACTTGCAGGTGGCTCGACAGTTTGCTATGATTACATCCAGGAAATGAAGCGTGGCTAGTTGGCAAAGTTATAGACTTTTGTTCTGGCGAAGAGCTGACCATCCTCACTGTGCAGCATCTCTCTGCACCTCATGTGACCTCCTTTACGTAGCAGAAATGCCGTCCATGTGGCTTAGTAATGACTTCTTTCCTGCTTGTTGAAGCTATTATGATTCGAAAAAGCAGCGTTTGGCTTTGCAGCATCCATGTGTGAGGAGCTGCTGCAGCACTTACTGCGTCACAGCGGCCCTACGAGGCAGCACGTGTGGACCCAAAGGCCTGGCCAGAGTGACGTGAGCCCGGCTTCCTCAGGATGGACCACAGCGAGGCCTGCAGCAACCAGAGGGGCAGAGGAACGACAAAAACATCCTCTGCTCCCCCTCACGTACCTGCCCCCCTCGGCCTTGTCCCTTTCCATGCTCTGAGGTTTGTTTTCAGGAAGACCAGGCTTCCTGTGTGATGGAGCGGTGGATGAGGGGAGGAAGAGGGGGATGGGACCGAGAGGAAAAGACTGACACAGGGAGAGATGGATGGGACGAGGTATCAGTCCCGGGCACGTAGCGCTTTGGGGGAGTTTGTTGCATTGGTTGTTTTCTCGACAGGCACCTGCGAAGGAGGCTTAGCGACGAGAGCGGAGGCAAATACAACTTCTGCACAGACAGAAAGCTTTTTTGGTCTTTTGCACCTGCAAAACGTTTTGTCTCCTGTCAGCAGTCTTACAGGGAGTGGCCTGATGTGTAACTGGGAGATGAACACCTCTGACATGTGAGTACATACCAGTCAGTTTTTGGACTTGGCCTGGCCCTGGATCATTCTAGCTTTACATATCTGAAAAGCAATCTTTGTTATTTTTATTTTAAAATCGGGCTGGAAAACATTAAATAATCAAAAAAATCAGCAGAGGGCTGGAATCCAGACGTGGTGAGTATCACAGAAACACATTATAGATGTACATTGTACTAGGATTTAATAGCACGTTACCTGTAGCATCATTAAATTCTAATTTGTTAGGAATTAACTAATCAAGTTTTATCAGATAAATAAAACTTTTTTGAACAGGAAATATCAGCACGAGAGATTAATTCTGTTTCAACTAACAAACTTTAATATTCATTATAGAATAAACACTTTCTGCAGGATGTGGGTGATCATTTTTCACATAATATGACGGTTTTATTCAACACATTTCATAGATTGTTGTAGCACCTTTTTGCACTTTTAAGCACCTCTGGCTGTTGTTTTCTTCCCCTCATTTCTTTGTCTATCACGGTGACTTTTCTGATTGTGTTGCATCATTACTTCACTAATTAATTGTGATGTTGGCGGTTCAAACTGGGGCTCCACAAGTGTTTTATTCAGTTTAACTGTATGTGGCACCACTAGGTCGTCTCGATGGCTTTATATAGTAAGGGTCAAGGCCTCACAATATGGTATTACAGAGAGGAACCCAACAAATGCAATGACTTTTCAAATTTTTTTGAGAAAGGTGGAAAATTGCTGTTTAAGGTCAGCCAGTATGAGTACCTGAAGAAATCAGACATTTTGAAGTTTCCCAGCTAATCCCAGCATTTGATTCCTATTTACCGATATACACAACTCGTCTTCACATCTGTCACACACTTACATTACACATGGATGAATAAACCCAACGTGCAAAAGTTCAGTTGTAAACTGTCACGTGTCAGTTTTATCATGTGTAATGTGAATATTGTGAATATGTAGGTTGAAAGAAGAATAATAGGAGGGTGGAAACTCAAATGCCCAAATTTTCTCACACATGTTGTTCAATTAAACATACTGTAACTATGAAACCAAAACCACCAATTTCCGAACTGTTGTTGCTGCTTTCCTGCAGAAACAGCAAATGATGCACTTTTGTAAATATAGAGTACCAACAAAACAAAGTAGTGGGAAACAGAACAGAAGTATTTCATTACTATGGAGTTCAAACATCCAAAGGGAATAAAATTCGTCAGTTCTAAGTCTAGAAAAGAACTAATTTCATACAATTTATTTTCTGTATTTTGCTTTGTTTCCCTGTAAAGTAACAGCTGTACACAAAGTTCAGAAATAAAGATTTAGGCAAAAATAATCAGTAACTGTGGCAGGTGTTAAAGTTAGTATACCCTGTTAGGTCAGTAACATTGGACTGGCTACCACAACACCCCAAGTTGAATATTTTCAACCCTTTACTGGATTTTAATGATGGCAAGGTGCTGCTCCTGTTTTTCTCCGAAAGTTTCTTCAGTGATCCGTTCTAATGTCAGATATCCAGATCACTTGTTTTCAGTATGACTCTGGTTCTTCCAGATGTTGCTCTGCATCCTTCAGTTGGTGACTTTGGCGATGAGGTTGTAATAAGGTTTCCCTCTGAGTCATTTTAACTTCCAGGCTGTCTCGATCTATATTCTAGATCTTGTCTTGACGTCCATGCTTTCCCTAAACTTATTACATTTCTTAATGATATTACTGACAGTGAAAATGACTATTATTTTATAGATTTCACAGCTTTATGGGCTTCAGGTAGCTTCATATTCAGATTCTGGTGAGTTTCTTACAGGATTCCATGATTAACACATGATATAAGGATTCATTGGGATTTATTTAGATGGTTCCTAACCTGCATTAACACTCTTACAAAGTCAGTTTTGGCAGATCATTTTAATGAAGCTTGGTGACTTAGCAGCATCCCTTTATGAAAAATTAACATACATGTTTTTTCTGATTTAAAAATTTAAAAAAATAAATAATAGAATAAAGTAAAACACGGCACCTTTTCAATCTTGAGTCTGTTTACCTTTAAATTTTCCCCCAAAAATTCAAAAAATTAAATCTGTCCAGAGGTGTTTGAACTTCTACATACAGCCGTAGGAAATCATGTTGTTTTTAAAAGTATAATTTGTTTCTCCTCTCTGCTAAAATGCACAAATATGAACACATCATATCCAATAGTTTTTAGCTGCAATATATAAGACTGAACCTCATCCTGACCCATCTCTCATGATCCTATAATGATCTTTAATCTCTTAATGAGCATGTATAAAATATGTTTGGAACATGGCGTGTCAGATTTCAGACACTCACTCTGCGTGTGTAATGCCTCAGCAATAATTTATCTTGGAGGCCGTTTTAATTCGGATAAATGATAATGTCATCAGGTTAGACTTTATATCCCGCTGCATGCTGATCTAAGTC